CAGATTTGCATATCTAGCCCCTCATGATTGGTTCACAAAAGCAACCAATCATAACCCACCTTCTACAATCCTTCATTCAACCAATCACTGCCCCCCAGCATGTATATAACCACGATCCCTGGCCCACAATAAATAGACGACCCTGAAGACCTGTGACACTGCATCGTCTCGGCGTCTCCGTGCTGCCCACAATAAATGGAGGATGCGTCGTCTCTGTGCGTCCTTCGTCCCGTCTCTCACTCCTTCCCTCAGGAAACCCGTTCGACTGTCCCCGGGGTCGGCACAGGCCACACTTGTTGAAAAATGAAGCTGGGAAGGAGAGGGGTGGGAGGGGAGGGTGATTTTTAAAGAGATTGTCGAGGAAGGTAAAATTTGAGGGACCAGCAGATGGCATAATGGTTACGTTGCTGGACTCCCATGTAGTTAACTGTGGTTCGAGTCCCAGATCCGGGGGTTTGAAACTCATGTGTGTGCATGCCCCAAATCCCAAGAGAACGGAGAAGCATGGCCATACCCCCCCCCACCAGGTGATTTATCGCTTTCTGTCTAAGTTTTCCTGAGTGTGAAATTGGGGTTGGGGTGTGTGGGGGGCATCTGCAAGAGAACCAGCCTCTCTTCCAGTCACTGGGAGGCCCCCAGGCAGCGAGGGAGCTGGGTGGGGCTCACTTCTAATGCACCTTTTGAAAAGTGAGGAGGGCCTTCATTCCCACAAGGTACTACAGACAATGGGGGGAGTGTTCACTGACTGCCTCCCCCTCACTGGCCTGCTGCTCTGCTCTGCTCTGCGAGGTCTGAGGGCAGAGGCTGGGAGCGCCCCAGGAGCCCCTCGGCCCCTGTGGCCAGGTGCACCTGCTCTGTCTACCGGGGCTATGGGGTGGTGAGGGGACACTGTGGCTTACATTCTGCTGAGTGTGCCACCTAAGGTCAAAGGCCACGGGCAGAGCGAAAGAGCAGTTGGTGAAGGGGATGCTACTACCTCCCCCTACCTCAGAATGTAGGTGGCCAGAAGACCGGCCACATAGAGGTCAGACCTAACTGTCTTACGAGAAGGTGGTGCTGGGGCCAGCAGGTAGTGTGGAGGCCACGGTGCCTGGGTCACACATGGCCGGCACGGTTTGAGTCCTGGACCAGGCAGCTTGAAAAACATGCTGGGGCTGGGGGCAGCAGGTAGCATGGTGGTTAAAGGTGCTGGATTCCCACATGGCTTACCGTGGTTCCAGTCCCAGACCCAGAGGCTTGCTTTCTTACTTTTCCTTTCTTTCTCTCTCTGGTCAAATTTTTTAAAAAGGCTTCCACATTTTTCTCCTGGAAAACAATCGCATGGGAGCTCCAACTTTAATCTGGAAACAGACTGAAGGCTAAGGGAAGTGTGGCCGGATTGATCCTGAGGGCTCCCAACGGGGGAGGGAGCCAGCATTAAAAACCCATTATCGGCTTTAAAAAACATGTCAGGCCAGGGCTGGCAGGTGGCGCCTGCAGTGCAAGAGGAGCACCAGGCCTGTGTCTGCAGACGGGCGGGGCAGACACTGGCCAAGGGGGCTCAGTGTCTGCAGGGCTGGAGGCCCACAGTGGAGCACCCCTACCCCACAGGCCGGCTGGCTGCAGAGGACGGTCCAATAGCCTCATCTTCAGGTCCTGCCCCGGCCACTGCACGTGTGATGAAGCCGTATAGCAAAAGTGCCATGGTTAGACACAGAACAGAGCTAATTGTTCTTTTGGGTTTTTTTGAGAGGTTTTTGCCATAGGGCTCGTATGCTTACCAGAGAGACAGAGTGAGAAATCACCCCCCAGGGGGGAATGGTCACACCACACTCCCTTCTCCTCCATTCTCTCGGGATCTTGGGTACGTACACACACACACACACACACACACACACACACAGTGTGAATTTAAGCCACTGGGTCTGGGACTGGAACCATGGTTGACTACATGGGAGTCCAGCAACATAGCCATTATGCTAACTGCTGGTCCCAAGAGGTAATTGGTAATTGTTCAGGATGGGCTGTGGCAACCAGTCCTTTCCTCTGTTAACATAAGAATAAAACATAACCAACATTCTGTAACAACATAACAACTGTTAACTGATATACAATGTCACATAACCCTAACCCGCTACTTTTAATCCTGAATTGTTCATGAATGTGGGAATGGTGAGATTGTGAAGGTGTTACAAATTCTGAAACCTGTGGGCCCAGAAAAGCAAACTCTGGGGTCAGCAGGCAGGAGGGTGATTAGAGTGCTGGACTCCCACATGGCCGACTGCAGTTCAAGTCCCAAAGTTGGCAGCTTACTTTCTCACTTTCCCTTTTTCTCTATCTGGTCAAATTTAATAAATAAATAATAATAGCAAATAAATAAATAATTCTAAAAAAAAAAAGCGAATGCTATCATAAAGAAAAACCTATTATATGCTTTAAAAAGCATGTCAGGCCAGGGCTGGCAGGTGGCGTGATGGTTAAGGTGCTGGGTTTCTATTGGCCAATCATGGTTTGAGTCCTGAACCTGGCAGCTTGCTTTTTCACTTTCCCTGTTTCTCTCTGGTCAAATTAAGATAACGATAATGATAATAAATAAAATTAAATACTTAAAAAAGAAAAACAGGGACCAGCAGTTGGTGTAATGACTATGTTGCCGGACTCCCATGTAGCCGACCGCGGTTCGAGTCCTGGACTTTCTTTATATGGATAGTTAATAACAAACTCTGACTATTCAACAGTAAGACAGGCAAAACACCGGATAAACCATTAAGTGCAATTGTTCCTTTATAAATCATCCACTATTAAACCAGCCTATGATGAATAGCGTTCAGAAGTCAAATGGCTTATAGGCACTTCGGGCAGTTTTTGAAAAACACCTGAACTCATAAGATGGTAAGTGTATTTAATATTACAAAATTACTAATCCACGTAGAAATTAGGTACAACTATCTTAGAAAAGATATTTGTACTTGCTCAGGGCCAGCAGGTGGTGTGGAGGCTAAGGTAGCTGGATCTCACAGGGCTGACTGCACGGTCTGAGTCCTGGACTGGGCAGCTTGAAAAACATGCTGGGGGTGGGGCCGGTAGGTGGCATGGTGGTCAAAGGTGCTGGCCTCCCATGTGGCCGACTGTGGCTCAAGTCCCGGACCTGGCGGCTTGCATTCTCGCTTTCCCTTTCTCTGTCTCTCTTTGGTCAAATTTAAAAGAAAAAAAAAAGGGAATTAAATATTTTTTTTTAAAAAGGGAAAAACATGCTGGGCATGTGTGTGAGAGTGCCCCCAAAAAGCTATTTTTGCTCAAGAGACTGTCAGAAGGACGTTTCTGGATTCCCTAGTTAAAGCTCCCGAGAACCAGAGGACGACTGGCTGTCAGGCCTAACGCACCAACACGCCAGCTCGCCACCGCGTCTAACCCCTACCTCGGCACACCTGGTCACTCGCTACGCAATCGTCCTTCACCACACCAACCAGTGGTGTCTCGAAGGCTTTCCAGTCACTAAGCTGCCATTTGGGTTGGATTCCTTTTTTTTTTAGAAAGAGAGGCTTTTGCTATGGGGAATATGTGCTCACTAGAAAGGCAAAAAAACAGAAAGCGAGAAATCACCACCACCACCCCCATGAGGGATGATGGCCAGGCCGCAATCCCTTCTCCATTTTCCTCTCAGGATTTTGGGAACACCCGCACACGCGCTTGGCGTGAGTTTCAAGTCACCAAGTCCAGGACTTGAACCGCGGTCAGACATGTGGGAGTCCGGCGACGTAGCTATCATGCCACGTGCTGTCCCTGGATTCCTTTTTGAGGAGGGAAGCACAAGAGGCTCAAGCCTCTGTCAAAGGCTGAGTGAGCAGATGATTCAGAAGTCAATGTACCCGGGAACGCCGGCTCTCAGGAAGGTGGTGTGGAGGAGCTGCGGGTGAAGAGAGCGGCGGTGCCAACTGCTTCCCAGGTGAGGCTCTGCTGTAACCAGTTCCTGGGGACTTATCTGAAAGCTCTCCTCAAGCCTAAGGATGGGATTTCTTTGCTTTTTCCTTTTTAAAATGTTTTGCTATATGGAGTGCGCACTTGCTGGAGAACGATAGCAGGAAAGTGAGGGACGGCCAAGCAGTGCCCCCGAGGTGGGGATGGCACACCACAGTGTGTACCATATTCCCCATAGCAAAAGCCTCTTTCTAAAAAAAAAGGAATCCAACCCAAATGGCAGCTTAGTGACTGGAAAGCCTTCCGCTCCATCCTCCTCTTGGGGTTCTGGGCGTGCACACACATGTGCACAGTGTAATTTTTGAGGCCCCGGGTTTGGGACTCGAACTGCACCATCACCCATGTGCGAGCGAGCCGCCTTAATGTCCATACCAACTGCGAGCCCAGAAACATGTTCACTTCTTACAGAAACAAACGTAAAGGGGAGAGGGCAGAACTCCCAAGGTAACTGGTATGAAAATATTCCCTAGGGACCAGCAGATGGCGTACGGTTATGTTGCTGGACTCCCACCTAGTTGACTGCGGTTCGAGTCCTGGACCTGGCAGATTAAAACTCACACAGGGCACATGTGCATGTATGCCCCAAATCCTGGGAGGAGACAGGCAGAGAAGATATTGTGGCATGGTCATCCCCCTGGGGGGTGAGTTTTCGCTTTCTGTCTCTCTATCTCCCTCTGTCTCTCTGGAAAGCACACACACCCTATAGCAAAAATTTCTTTCTTTTTTGTAGACTTATTTTATTTAACTTTATTTGTTTACTTATTTTCATCTGACCAGAGAGGGACACAATGAGAGAGTGAGAGAGAAAGCAAACCGCCAGGTCCGGGACTCGAACCGGTTGACCATGTGGAAGTCTAGCACCCTTAACCACCATGCTACCTGCTGGCCCTTAGCGAAAATTTCTTAAATAGAAAGAAGCTCCCCAAGTAGCCGGCTATTGCGATTACCACAGTGGAGGTCCCAGATCCCAGCGTGGCAGCGGGTCCCTTTGCAGACAGAGACAGTTCCATTTACCAAAGGCAATTCACACTCGGGAAAGACCATGACGGTTTCGAGGTTCTTGTTTTATTTACAAGTAAGTGAAGACTGCCCCCGTAGACGCTAACTTGGGGGAAGGTGGGCAGCGTAAACCCGCAGCTGCCAGCTCCACGGAGCATGCTGAAAGAAGTCCACGCCGGAGTCTCTCCATGCAGTGGTTCTTCACCAGAAAGCCACGCCAAACCCAAACCACATGATTCCTTCATGCTGCCTACGTGAAAGAAGTGAAAATAACAGTGGCTTCAAGACCTCGCAGTCTGGCCGCACCTGCGAGGAGGGCGTGGAGACCAGGGTCACCCTCTGCTCTCCAGCAGGAGCCCTGGCAGGTTCAGTACTCGTCCAGGGTGTCTGCTCGGGGGATGGAGAGGCCGCGGTCCTTGAGCGCCCGCACTTTCAGCTTCTCTGCTTCCAGCCTGGTCTGCTGCTCCACCCTCTGCTCCTCCAGGATCTCTTCAATGGACACCTGCTGCAGGGGCGTGTCACTCTCCTTCTCCAAATCCTGCACAAGACCGAGAACAGAAGACACTACAGACCGAAAGGCGAATGGGTCCGTGTACGGGCTGGGGTTATTTTCCCTAACTGACAGGGTTGAAATCGTCTTCTCTAGGGACAGGTTAAGTTGTGTGTGTGTTTTTTTTAAGAATTACATAATTTTATTGATTATTTTTTAGAAGAATTATTTATTTGATTTCATTTGTTACTATTTTTTAATTTGATCAGAAAGAGAGAAAGGGAAAGTGTGAAAGCAAGTTGTTAGGTCTGAGACTCGAACTGTGGTTGGCCATATGGGAGGGGAGTCCAGCAGCTTAACCACCACACCACCTGCTGGCCCACTATTATTAAAAAGTTTTTAAAAGAATTATTCACTTTATTTATTATTTATTTTTGGAGAGGTTTTTGCTACAGGGTGTATGCACTTGCCAGACAGACAGAGACAGTGAGACAGAAAGCGAGAAATCACTCCTCAAAGGGGACGGCCATGCTGCAATCCTTTCTCCTCCACTCTCCCCTTAGGATCTTGGGCGTGCATGCACATGTACCTGGCATGAGTTTAAGCCACCGGGTTTGGGACTCGAATTGCTGTCAACTACATGGGAGTCCAGCAACATAGCCATTACACCAACTGCTGGTCCCAAGAATTATTTCTTTTAATTTTATTTGTTCATTAATTTGACCAGAGAGAGAGAGAGAGGGGTAAAGTGAGAAAGCAAGCCACCAGGTCGGGGACTTGAACCATGGTCGGCCATGTGGGAGTGTCCACCAGCCCCTTAATCACCATGCCACCGGCTGGCCCCTCATTACTATTGCTTAATTTGCTATAGGGCACATGTACTCACTAGAGAGACAAGGACAGTGGAGAAGTGAGAAGGCAAGCTGCCAGGCCCAGAACTCGAACCGTGGCTGGCCATGTGGAGGGCAGCACCTAACCACCATGTACCTGTTGGCCCCTTGACCTTTCCCAAGGAAAAATGACTAGGACCACTTCGAGACAGCTATCTTCTTGGCCATAGCGAGCCCAGGAGAGTGGGCCGGCCCCGTGGAGCCATGGTTAAGGGAGCGAGGTCACGTAGCCTGCAGGGACTCAGGCCAGTGAGCGGCACAGTGGCTGGGGTGCTGGATCCCACATGACTGTGTGGATCTGATCCTGCACCTGGTGGCTTGAGGAGCACGCCGCACACGTGCACGTGTGCCCAAGGTCTCCAGAGCAGAGGAGGAGAGGGGACTGCGGCACGGCTGTCTACCTCCTTGAGGGGTGCTTCTCTCTCTCTGGGAAGCACCTATGCCCTCGAGCAAAGTAAACCAAAAGAAAAGAAAAGAGAAACACGCTCTGTGGGTGTGCACATCCCCAATCCCGACAGGGTGGAGAGACGGAGAAAGGACTACAGTATGATCGTGCCCCAGTGGGGGATGCTTTCCTCCCTTTCTCCTCCTGTCAGTCTCTCTGGTGAGTCACTCTGACTAAATTAAAAGGGGGTAAAAAAAGAAGAGACAGAAGCCAAGCACCATTACCGAGGCCAGGATGGTTTGTTTCAGACCCCGCCGTGAGCGAAGTCAGCTGGTGCCCAGTAAGAGGCAGGGCACTGGCTCACGTCCACCCGCAGTTCCGCAGAGGCAACCCATTGCCCTGCTGTAGGAAGGGGAGTCCCTAACCGCACCCAGCACCCCTGCCCCGCCACAGTGCGTGTGCAGAGAAACCACAGCAGACCAGCCACATTACCGGACCAGTGTGGCCCAATATATTCTCCAATATTGGATTAAAAGGGTTTTTTTTTTTTTTTCTTAATAAAAAATGATTCCCTTATTGTAAAAATACATACTCACTATAAGAAATTTAGGTAATAGACAAGCAGAAACAAGTGTAAAATAATCCACAGTCCCAGTTTGAAGGATTTATATATATATATATATATATATATATAGACTGGGGTCAGCAGGTGGAGTGTTGGTTAGGGTGTTGGACTCCTACATGGATGACTGCAATTCGACTTGCTTTCTCAGTTTCTCTGTCTCCCTCCTTCCCGCACTCCCTCGTCAAATTAAATTAAATAAACAAACAAATAAATAAATAAAGCTAGGGGCCGGCAGGTGGCATGGTGGTTGAGGTGCTGGATTCCCACAGGGCTGACTGTGGTTCAAGTCCTGGACCCAGGCAGGGGCTTTCCTTCTCTCTCTCTCTTTCTTTCTTTCTTTTTTTTTTGGAGAGGTTTTTGCTATAGGGCACGTGCGCTCGCCAGACAGAGAGAGACATAGAGATAGAAAGCGAGAAATCACCCCCCAGAGGGGATGGTCACGCCACAATCCCTTCTCCTCCATTCTCCTCTCGGGATCTTGGGCACGCATGCACACGCGCCCGGCGCGAGTTTTAAGCCACTGGGTCCGGGACGTGAACCGCGGTTGACTACGTGGGTGTCCAGCAACATAGCCATTATGCTAACTGCTGGTTCCCTCTCTCTCTCTTTCTGATCAAATTAATAACAACAATAATAATGATAATGAATAAAATTAAATAAATAATTCTTTAAAAAAATAAAAATAAAGCTAAATAAAATTCCTTTAAAAATGTATATATCAACTTAAAAATTCTTTATAAGGCGACTAGCAGATGGTGTAATGCATATGTCACTGGACTCCCATGAAGTTGAAAGCCGTTTAAGTCCCAGACCCGGCGGCTTAAAACTCACGCCAAGCCTGTGTGTGTGCATGCCCAAGATCCCGAGACAAGGATGGAGAAGGAACTATGGCATGGCCATCCTCCTGTCTCTCTGTTTGTGTTTCTCCAATGAAAAAGAAAAAAAAAACTTTATTAAAAAAAAAAAACAAAAAAACTCAATGCAAATATTTAGGTAATTTGTTTACTTTTACTTACATAGCATAAGTTTAGTATTTTTATTTTGGGATATCTTAAAAATATCTGATAATTGGGACCAGCAGATGGCATAACGGTTATGTCACTAGACTCCCATGCAGTCAACTGTGGTTTGAGTACTAGACCCGGCCACTTAAAAACTTAGGCCGGGCATATGTGCGTGCATGCCTCTAATCCCAAGAGGCGAATGAAGAAGAAGAGACTGTGGCATGGCTATCTGCCCCCTCCGGGGGAGATGTCTCACTTTCTGTCTCTCTCTGTCTCTCCAGTGAGCGCACATGCCCTATAGCAAAAATCTCTCTAAAAAAAAAAATCTGATAATCAATTTCAGAGAACCTTGCTATAAAAATATCTCACTATCCACAGATTCATCTTACTCTCCTTTAAAATGAGGACAGATACCATTCTCTGTGTGTATGTGTGCTTTAAAGAATTATTTATTTATTATTTTTCAATTTGACCCAAGAGAGACAGAGTGAGACAGAAAGTGAGAAAGCAAGCCACCAGGTGTGGGACTTGAACTGTGATCAGCCATGTGGGAGTCCAGCACCTTAACCACATGCCACCTGCCAGCCCCTATTCTGTGTTTTTGTAAAATGGAAGCCCATACAAAGTACTCCTGCTTCTTGCCCTCCTCTCTGAATCTCAGTTACAGTGTCTGAGACGGTGCTGGCCCCACTTCCCGGATGGTCTAGTCTGGCCCCTGATCTACACTCTGCCCCAGGTAGTGACAGTACTGGAAGAATGGCTCTCGCCAGATCAGTCATGACGAAAGCCACACACACGTGAGCAAGCCCTGCCCTGATGGAGAGCGAACGGCATCTAGCAAAACACACGCAGCCCTTAACACGTGCCCTCACACCTTGCTGCAGGAGGGCCCTTCCCCGGGCCGTTCCTTCAGCTCCCATGTCCCCGGGCTGCTGCTCCCACAGACGGCTCTATCACCTAAGGATGTGCGTTACCACGCTTGAGGCAGAGGGCAGGGATCTCTGAGGCAGCACTACGCGGACAGATTCTCTGTGTTCTCTGGGTCTGAGCTGCCTCGGGGCTGCATCATTTCTTCAAACCCACTGCAAACCTACTGCTGACTCGTGACCAGCAATCAGTCCTGACCCATGTTTCTCTAGCGCTACACTGCACAACTTCTGTAGTGCCCAGACCAAACCAGAGTACTTCCCCCCACAAAGGGGAGCCAAGAGAACACGAATCTCTAAGCACACGCACGTGTCCACTTCCTTCTCCGTGTTTACACACAACTCTGCACAGTGCGCCTTCACGCCCATGGAGCTGGCACACAATGCACGCCTGCGTGTTCACGACTGCGGACGTGAAAGAGACTAGATGTAAGCAGAAACGCTTACCGGTCTCCGCTTTAAAAATTAAGTTCAGAAAATTACTTAAAAAAAAAAAAAAAAATCACGCGTTAGGAACTGCAAATGCTGTACCGGTTACATCACTGGACTCACATGTAATTGACAGTGGTTCGAGTTCCAGACCTGGAGATGAGACGTGTGTGAGTGCGTGCCCAAAATCCCGAGAGGAGAATGGGGAAGGGACTATGGCACGGCCCCTGGGGGTGATTTCTCGCTCTCTGTCTCTCCTGCGAGTGCACGGGCCTTACAGTAAAAACCTCTCTCTAAAATGTCACCCATAGGGACCAGCAGATGGCATAATCCACATGGCTGAATGTGGTTTGAGTCCTGGACCTGGCAGTTTGCTTTCTCTCTCTGTCAAATTGAATAGAATTAAATAAATAAATCTTTTTAAAAAAAATTTAAAAAAATAAAGAGAGGAAAAGTGAGAAAAGAAAGCGCCAGGTTCAGGACTTGAACTGTAGTCATCCATGTGGAGGTCCAGCTCCCTAACCACCATGTCACCTGCCAGCCCCTGTAGGGGGCTTCTCTCTTTTTAAAAAACAATGATTTATTTAATTTAATTTAACTATTCATTTATTTTAATTTAACCAGAGAGAGAGGGAAAGTAAGAAAGCAAGCCTCCAGGTCCAGGACTCGAACCATGGCTGGCTATGTGGGAGTCCAGTGTCTTAACCACCGCGCCAGCTGCCGGCCCCTACAGCTTCTCTTTTAAAGTTACAATTTTCCAAACTAATCTACTGGTTGCCCGTGAGAAGCTGAGTGAGGGGTAGAAGTTATCTTTCCCCCCTTCGTGAAAAGACAGAAAGAAACAAGTCTAACTGACATGGTATCAAGGCCCACAGCTGCTGAGCAGTTTTCACTTACTATTTCTCCTAGTAGGACCACATTTTCTCCTCTGACCACAAAAATCCCTCGTGGAATGTCACCGTACTTTTTGCCCACATGAATACGTTCCACAGTCTGATGCAGCACTAAGTTAGCTACAGGTGCACAGGGAAGAAACAGAGATGCTTAGTTCACGTTACCAGGGACAGGTCCGTAACTCAGTTATTTTGAGTAGGAAAGATTTAGGTAAACATGATTTCCGAACTTTTGGGAAAGATAAAAAGTCAAATAACCTTTCCTTTGTCCTTGAGTAAGACATACCGCGGAGGAGATTTATAAACGATCGCACACCGAGACGGATGTGCAATTCTGCTGTGCTGATACAGGAACGATGGCAGGAGCGAGCTAAGAAAAACAGGAACTCCTTTGTCGTGGACTGCTAATACCAACTTAGCAATAAGAAGGCATAAATGAACAGGAAAACTGGAAAGCTTGGACCTAAACCAAAGCAGAGATAAAACCTGGTTCTCGGAAGGTAACAGGTATTTTTTACTATATGGATTTGTGTATGTGACCATTTACTGGAGATTTAACTTTGCTCAGTACTCAGGATTCATTTAACCCAGTGCCAAGGATTATGATACAGCGAACATCCATTTTGAAGGTGAGGCAGCCAGTGGGGTGGTGAAGGCGACTAGATTCCACATGGCTGACTGCACAGTTCAAGTCCTGGACCCAGAGGTTTGAAGAACACATTGGGCATGGCGTGTGTGGATGCCCAAAATTCTAAAGGGAGGGAGAAATGGAAGAGAAGGGACTGCGCATGACAGGGTGCACTTTCTTTCTCTCTCTCTCCCTGGCAAGCGCATGTACCCACTGGAAAAATTCAAAAACAAAAACACACTATTTGCTCATCTCATCAGATAACCATACTGGTAATCTAAGAGTAACCTCGATCTTCACTATTTGTTCTTTGAAGTACTCTGATGAATTTGACTTAAGATTTAGAGCCCCAATGTGCTCAAAATAACTACTTTTCTTCTATCAATTGGTATGACTTGTCTTAACTGAAGCAGAGCAGGAATCTGTGTTCATATCTTCTATAATTCTTTCAGGTGTTTCAAGCACGAGGTTTTTCTCCTGCCTAAATCTGGTCACCTGGCAGATGTCCACCCAATGTGCATATGAACAGACAAGCCTGACACCGAGTAGGCACAGACCCCAATCTTAGAGAAATGCGATATATAAGTAAAGACAAGACTCCCGAGTCTGCTGTACCCGTGTGGAAAATAACGAACTTGACGCTGGGGCTCCTGAAAGCCCCAGGAAGTGCCTTCTGCAGCTCCCACGGGACAAGGAGGGCCCTCCCTCGGCGCAGGAACAGCTCCGGAGTAGCCGCACCCAGGCCCCGGTATGAATGAGCGGCCTTTTCAGTGGCCTGAGCTCATTCCTGCCATGCGGCTCCCTCTAATGGGAGAAATAAAGACAGTCCAAAGCTGTAATGTGTCCTACTGAAGCCCAGTCTAGAAAAGTGAGCTTGTAAGAACATGAGCCTTTGCACCAGCTCACCACAGCGTGGCGCACAATGACGTGTTCACTCAGAGCAGATGCCTTACACAAAACACACGCGGTGCGGCCGCAGAAAGTGCAACAGCCGGCCCTCACACGCCCACGTTACGGGAGGAGCCGTCTGCAAGTTATACATACCGAACTGATCGATGCTCCTTAAAAAGCCTATAAGTGTCCTTCCGTCTCGAAGCAGGACCAAGTGCTTTTCTGGGAAGAGAAAAAAAATATCTTTAACACAAAAACAGCTTCCTTGAGAATAACAACAAGAAGGAAGTCAGTGCTTTAGGCTGTACCACTTCCTCTCCCGATGTACTTAAGGAGGAGGTGACTGGGGAAATGGAGGGGGCCGCGGCAGCCTGAGGCCTGGACGAGAGGCTCGAGGTGGAGATCACCGTGGTGGGACTGGAAAGCGGGATGGCGCCCGGGGGCCTACAGCTGACACACCGGCCAGAGGCACTTCAGTTTCAGTATCTGAGAATTAAGACATTCAGTCTTGATGAACTTAACGCTCTTAATTCCAGAATGACTTCTCCCTCAACTGAAGAGTGTCCATCTCACGTTTGTTTGCAATAAGGGGCAGCTCTGAATAAAAACAAAGCCTTGGGCATTGACAACGAGAACTCTGGTGACCAGCTAGGGCAGGAATTCAGTTCTCTTTATCGAGAGCCACGTGCTGTGCGGCGCCTGGAGAGTGGAGACAAAGTAGAAAGTTGCCCATCTTATAAAGTCACACTCGTGCTGGAGGAAGACGAGAAAAGTACTCAGTACGGACAGCACCACGGACTCAACAGGACAGTGGGCCGCTGCGAGGACGGGGTGCGAAAGACGCTCCAGCAGCGAGCACAGGAAAGCTTGGCGGGGAGACTATGCGCTGAACCAGAGGACGGGAGTAATTCAGCTACGGCAAAAGGCCGCAACCCACTCGCCCGGTGCCGCGTAGAGAGCCTCCGACACGCAGAGCAGAGGAACGAGAACCCTGCGGTTCTGCCCTGGAGGAACTACCAGTCTCTCCTGCTCTGTAATTATCTCCGCACCGCAGGAAAAACACTTACCTATATAATACTCAGAGGAAGAGACTGTATCTACCTGGAGGAGGCATCTGAGCTAGACCTCGAAAGGCAGATAAATCAAGCATTTTTGCCAGAGCATCCGTGCACTCACCAGAGTGGCGGTGGTGGGGAGAGGGAGACTGGTCACCCCCATTTCTCCACTCTGTCGGGGTTCCGGACATGCACGCACACCAGACCAGTGTGGTTTTTCAAGCCACTGGGTCTGGGACTCAATCATACTGTTGGCCACGTGGGAGCCAACTGCCTTAACCACCAGAGCCAGAGCTGGCCTGAAAGGTGAGTGACTTTGGGCCACTAGAAACATGACAGAGAAGGGGTGGGGAGGGAAATCTGTCAGTTAGGCAGGAGGAAAACGACTATAAATGCATATATTTGGCTAAAAATTGAGGATATGAGAAACAAAACAAAACAACGAGAAACAGGAGACGAAGGGCGGAGGGTCCTGGGAGCAGACCACCTTTGTACGCGACTTCCTAAGGAACCAGAAAGCACTGAGGCTGACCTAATGGAAAAGCAAGCGCAGTCCTGAGACCCCTCCCAGAGTCTCCTGAGACAGGAGGTGGCCTGAGCCACGGTGGAGATGGGGGAGACGGTGCGGTGCTTCATGGTGTTAGGCAAGACGCGGGAGTCTGAAGCCATCGCAGGAGGACTAGTTTCCCAGGGGTGGAAACAGAAGAAGCAAGCTCAGGATCGAGGAGGTTATTCGCTCTCTGATTCTGAGTACCGCCAGGGCCCCTATGGAGAAGTGTCGGCCAGCAACAGAAATAAACAGTAAGAACGGAATGCCAGAAAGGTCAGAATTAGAGAAAGCAAGTTTGGATAAATCCACAAAAAGGTGATAAATTGCTAAAGTCCAGGAGCTCCCTGAAGGTTGAAAGCAGCAGGCCTCAGGGCCAGCCTACGGCCCACTGATTAGAGTCGTGACTGTGCGGTTGGAGTCCTGAACTCAGTGAAAAAAACAAAACAAAACAAAACAAAAACGCTAGACGCATGCCGGTGTGAGCCCCAAATCCAGATAGGACGGTGGTAGGGAGAAGGAGTTGTGGCGTGGCCACTCCCCATGGGGTGCCTTCTCTTTCTCTCTCTGGCTAGTGCACACACCTTCTGGCAAATTGAAACAAAAGGAAGGAAGGAAAGGAAGGAAGGAAGGAAGGAAGGAGGGAAGAAGGAGGCCACACACGCAGCCCAAGAGACCATCTGTTTTGGGACCCAAAAGCGTTGGAGAAGTAAACTGTGCAGCACCAGTGCGGGAGGGTCACACAGTGAACTCCGAAGGGTGCCTTAGGTGGGTGCCTTCAGGAATGCAGCCCTGGGGCCAGCAGGTGTGGTGAAGGCAGCTGGGTCTCACAGGGCAGACTGCAGGGTTCCTGGAACCCTCGAGGGCACTTGCACATGTGTACCTGAGACCCTGAAGGAGGGAGGACAGGAGGAGGGATTACAACACGACCATGCCCCACGGGGTGCGTTCTCATTATTCCTGCTTCTTTCCAGGCAGCACAGTCATCCTCTGGCACATTACAAAAAAAAATATTGAGATGGACAAGCACACAGGAAGGGAAGAACAGTGGGGAGAGAGAGGATATGGAAAACAAGGGGTACCGATGAGGAGGGCTCCCGAAGCAATGAGGGGAGAGAGTAAAGGCACAAACAGAAAAGAGGGAACCTTCCTGCTCAAAGGAGAGGGTACTGGGTGCCGCGGGTGGGCAGGCGGAGGCCCAGGCGGAGGCCCAGGCGGAGGCCCGGGTTTGATTCCTCACGCATCCTAAAAAGCCAGTCGTGGCGCGGTCCGTCATCCCGGTTACTCGGGAGGCTGAGGCAGGAGGACTGCCCAACAGTGAGGTCCTAACCCCAGCCCCCCGCACACGCACGCATGCACACGCACACAGCATGGCTGAAAATACACAGACGGGGGAGGAGGAAAGCGTGCAAGTGTGCTGGGGTGGAGAATGAAGGGAGCACCTGGAGAAGCTTCAGACTTTTCAAGAAAGGAGGAAGCGGGACTGCCATCGGCCGAGACGGGTCGGAGGGCTTGAGAACAAAAGTGATTTGTAGTGAAATGGCAGAAGGTGTCAGAGGCTCCGAATAATTCAGACATACAAGGAGAGGTGTGGGCAAAAGGCCAGCCTCAAACGGCCCCGAGAGAAGGCTCATTACACAGCCCCAGCCCGGGTACACTTGTAGGTTGCGGCAATACACGGATCTGTCCCAAATACACCTTTCCACCTTTCCCTTCAAAAGCAAAATAAGGCGCTTAGGTTTAAATAACGATCTCAGAAAAACCACGAAATAACTCTCATTGCAGACGCCAACTCACACCTTCACACAGGAACTACAGAAACAGTCTGGAAGACATTCTGCAGCCATTTCTGAGTTACTGAGACGCGGCCCACGTCTGAAACGACGGGAAAGGCTCTTTGAGGAAGGACGCCCAGAGGGAGACTCAGAACATGGAAAGAGGACAACTGCAAGCAGTTCCTTCTGCTGCGGAAAGGGAGTGCGCCTGCGGTGGGCAGTAACTAGAGTGAGGGCGATCTTGGGGGTAAAAGCAAACCGTCTCGGGGTGGGGGAACTCTGAAGTGACTTCGCTGTTCCAAAAAAGCCAATACGTGTCCGGCAGAAGCCGCATCTACTACTTCAACCTGAAAGTGCTAACGACCCTCAGCAGAGAAGGCCCGCGCTTACTGCCAACCTCACCCAGCCGCTGCGGTCTCCGTGCTTGGTCCTCGGAGTCCGCTCCCGGAGCGTTTTCAGCCACCCCGCGGGAAGAAGCGCTACGCGGGGACGCTGCAGTGGGAGACGGGGCCCGGTGCGGGGCTGGTCCGCAGGCCACTGTCGCGCCGCGGCCTCCGCCCGGCGCACGGG